GACAACTCACAAATTAATTTATCAATTAGAGTACATATCTAGCATGTCAGGTGTCCGTCCATTAAAGTAATGTTCGCGTCTATCGTGCAAAAGAATTGCATGCAAAATGAGGTTCGAGAAAAAACTAAACGGTTCGACGTACGAAGTGAAGAAAACATTCTAACACTGTAATCAGCCGAATCAAATATGCGTTACTTCAATTATTAGTCTTTTGCACGAAGCTGGCATGGTTTCGTGATACAAACACGAATGTACTTTACCAAGGTTAGCGATCACCGCTATTCTACATTGAAATATGATCCCATTGTGGTCTACTCCTGGGTTCGTTGCGTGCATTCTATCTTCTTAACCCCCAAAACTTTTATTCCTTTGTGTTTTTTCCCCACTGAACCTTTTACGTTTTGAACACTTAATTATCGACCGCCCGAGGAAATTTGTCTGTAGGCATATTACAGGACGCTGTACTGACAAGGTAATTAATATGGACGGAAAAATAGTTAGTCTTGGTACTGGATTTATGGAAACCCAGTTAGAAATTATTGAGGTTAATTTTTCTGATATAGAAATGTGGAGAAATAGAATTTTTCATTGGAGGTTTTCTTGTTTTATTTTTTTTTAGGGTTTTATTTTCTGGCATTTGTTTAATAATTTAAATATATTAAATGGCCTTATTCTGTTTTTACAATTTTACATATTTTTTACATATTTTAATACTTTTTACTTATAAAAAAATTATGTTATTTAATTTAGAGGTTAGGTTTTAAGACTCCTGTAAAACAATAATTTCATTTATTTTTGTATTTATAAGATAACATATTTGGAATTATTGAAATTCATCAAATTTTTTTGAATTGGAAAAATTATAGCAGATGATTAAATAAGAAGTTATTAAATAAACAGAAGCTATTTTACATGTTTAACCATCTAACAAAAGGAAGACGTTTCTCAATGCAATCTGTAAAATAGAACAAACTATTTTATTTTATTTGTAAATAAAAGAGTACAAAACACATGTAAACATTCTCTTCGATCATTTACGTAATTTCTTCAGATTTTAAACAATTTCACTTACATTTAAAATGAACTAAGTTTTTACTTATTTTCACTTATTTTAAATTTTCAGAAATTATTACTATGTTATTAAAATATATAAAGGATTGAAAAATGAAGTTTATTCGTACCCTGGCACGTTCAAAACTGTCGTAGTGATCGCACCAAATAAAGTAGACTAAAAGTAATTTCAGCGCTACAATCACATCAGCAAGTAGTGTATCTTTTAGCATGTAAAACGCGCGATTATTTGTAACTGAAGGGTACCGTTGTTGCACGCACCATAAACAAGTACCAAAGCAGGTAGACATAGCAATCGAGAAAATAGCACCTCTAATCATTACTTACAAGAACTCGTAGGTTTAAATTTTATGAACGAAACGTTTTCATGTGCATAAAAGCTTTAGATACACGGTGATTCATTTAACGTGGCAACCGCAATTATTTTTGGTATTAGTCATGTAATCGAATCTTTTTTGTCGTGGAGGATTCTTGTTGTAGAATTTCATAAACTCTTTATGGCAATGATCCTTACATTCAATTTTCATAATAAAAAAGAGTAGTTCTTAAATTAAATTTGAAAATTTAATAAGTGACTCTTGAATTTAGTTTAAAAAATTGCAAGTTTTAATCGATTTTAACAAATAAATTAAATAGTTTTTAAACTGGAAGGAAGCTTTCTTCATACGTTATCTATATTGTTTGTCAGATTGAACACTTTTTGAAATTGTGTCTTCTATGATATAAGGGTTGTATTATAATCACAAGTTTGTGATTTACTTATAATAAAAATATTTGAGATGATCATATTATGCATATGAATCCTGCATATTTAAAAAAAAGTAAAAAATGCGAAAATGCGAGCTGGAATCTTCCAAATATTAGTTCACGTGAAGATTAACATTAAATACCAATATTAGTTCTTCTAAATATTAGTCCACTACAAGTAAATGATATTTAAATTATTGATAAAATTTTCATAAAATTTTGCATAAAAATTCAATTGCAGTGAAAACACGAATGTAATTGTAGGACAAGGGATAAAACCATGTCACTCAAAATAAATTCTATTTAAACCTTTAATTTCAACACTTTTGAACAAACTGCAAAATCGTCTATTTAAATTATTTCATTGAAAAATTATTTCAATCATACAAGTAGCTAGTAATTATTTCATCGTCAACGACTTAATTCAAGCTTCTTGAAACGTCGAACATGATGATTCACGCTTTGAAAGTAGCGTCTTCCATTGAGTAAAGTTCACCGAACACAAGGTAGTAATCGTTGCATCAGCACTCACGTAGAGTTTTATGATCTCTTTGACGCAACGATTACCGTTGCAGGTTTTACGGGGAGATATTTTTTCAGAACCGACGAGATCCTCGAGTCGACATAAACTATTTGATTGTGCATAAATTATCTGAAAATGAATTCGCAAGAAACTGCAAGAAATGCAGCTGAGTCTGCTTCCTTTCGAGAAAATGCGGTAAGCTTCAATTTTACGAATGATGGACGATTAGGAAATTTTCATACGTCAAAATGTTGTTATAATGTCACGTTGCACATAAACCGATAAAATTACAATAAAAAAAACCAGCACACAAATATTTTTTAAGTATGATAATATCAAAGTTTACACAGTAAACATAAATCATGTAGTCTGTAGATTGTAGATCTGATACCTGATTTATTTATGCTTTTCTACCCGCGATATACAGGGTTAAATGATTCATTCGTTTTGAAAAGACTATCTTCGAAAGTATTACACGTACACATATGAAAGATATATGAGAAGAAGCAGAAAGTCATCAAGTTTACCCTCTATATTCAATATGTGCCTTTGGTGACACGACACACGTCAGACTATAATCGAGTACTAATACGTTCTTTGAACTCGACTAAGGATTGCGGTAGAGGGGGTACGTAAAGGTCCTTAACGTACCTCCACAGAAAGAAGTCGCAGGGCGTTAAATCAAGGTTCTGGTAGGCCAAGGGAACAAAGCTAGGTTCTAAGGGAACGCATCAGTGCTGCAGTGCAGACAATTGACAGGACTATGCTACAAAATGTATGGAATGAGCTCGATTATCGTCTGAACGTGTGTCGTGTCACCAAAGGGGCACATATGGAACATAGAGGGTGTATAAACTTGCTGAGTTTGTGGTTCTTTTCATATATCTTTCATGTATGTACGTATAACATTTTTGAAGATATAGCCTTCTCAAAACGAATGAATTTATGCTGACCCTGTATCATACATGTATAAACGTCGATGCAATAATAAGCAAGTATTAATTCCATCTACTCATGTTTAACAAGTATATTGTTAGTTATATATTCTAAGTATTAGAAAATATGCTCTATTATTCGACGGAATTCAATTATTGGTAAAAAATAACCCGCTATCGGTTTCCCGCAATGCTATTTTCAATCAAACCTATGGGACTGATATAATAACCCGATCAATAATAACTAGGAGAACCTAATATAAATATTACTTCGGTTACCTAAAATATCTGGACATGAAATAGTGAAATATACTTCACCGAATATTTTTATAACTCAATCAATTCTCATTGTACATAGTTATTCGTTAAGAACCACCCCTATTTTTAAATTTTATATAAAAAATCAAGAAATATACACAAGACCAAAAAATATAAAATTATTGTGTTTATTTAAAATACTTTAAAACGAAAGTGCTTTAGTTTGATTTATTTTCAAAACAAAAAGTTTATAGATTTCATTTATTAGGTAGCCATTAAAGGGAATCGGTAAATAAATGCTTCTTTTTACACAAGTATTCGCGACATTAAATTGATTTATTAATTTTCACTCTATGATATTTTTGCTATTGATAGATAAAATCTAACATTTTCCACAATTAATTATAAAACATTTTTTTATTGAAAATATGAATTCTTCTGAAATTATTATTTGTGTATTATTAATTTTCATTATTTTACTGTGTTTGCACATTACATTTATACCATTATAGATACTAAAAAATACTGAAGAATACTTGTTTCAAATTATCACATTAAATTGAATAGTCATTAATTATGATTATATCGAGTTATACTATAATCTCAATTAATTGAATGTAATTATATCATAATTAAATACAATTAAAATCAACATACTCAATAATATTATATAATAATTTCAGTCATCGATTAAAGTCATAAATGTTCTTGGTCACAAGCATTTCATCAATTAAGTTAAATTCAGTTAAACCAAAAAAATATTCAGACAAGCTTCCGAGTCTTTTTACTCGTGAATTTCGAGGGGAACGAAGGAAAACAGCAAATCAGAGAAACTAGTGCTGTAGGTCACGCTAGTCTAAAATTCCTCGACTCGAATGTCGATGGAACACTATAATGATTCGTGGTTTAATCCCATAACGAGTGGAACATTGAACGGTGGCAGGCACGGTAAATACGGATTCTCGAGACGTCATTATTTTGTATTACAGTATCGACTCGTTCGATGGGCTCAGGGCCAATATTGACTATCCAAATTACTCTTGCACACTTCAACTTTTCAGTTTTCTCGTTGCAATCGATTTTTCGAACAAATGCAATAAACCTTATAGCACATGTGTAGGTAAAGATATAAATCTCAAACGAGTAAAACATTTTGCTGCCTGGCATTGATAGTTCCGAAAATTATTTTCAAAATTTCTCTTATTGAATAGATCTACATTATCATTTTTATTATGCAAAACTAATATTTATAGCTAACACGTTTCCCTTGATGGTCGTATGTGACCTACGTTACAAATTTAGCTAAATCAATTATTTATAGGAAAAGTGAACCAAAGAAGCTTTTAGAGCTAATGTTGAAACAACATTGAATTAAAAGATGAAATTAAGTATCCTTGTCCTTAACGCTTAGGGTTCATCTCTTCCTCTCATCGTGAATTTTCGTAAGACAAGTTGTTGTTTCTTAGGTAAAATCGAATCAACTATCAGACTTTCGGAGACCTCAAGGTCCGCCTGGATTACCAAGGCAGCCCATAAATAATGGTCCTGTAGGCCAACCAAGACCGGGACAGCCACAACAAATCCGATTTGATAGTCGTTCTCCGACCGAATCTGGTTCGGGTCAATTTGGAGCACACAGGCCGTACGGTCCTCCAAAACCATCAGGAGCTCCAGTTCCTCAAAGGCCACCGCAACCAGGTCAACATCCGCCACAACAGGTTCCAGCACAAAGAAGTCAAAATCCAACACAACTAAATCCACATCCGCGGCAACTAAATCAAAATCCACCTTCACAAAGAGGTCAGAATTTGTCACAGAGCCAATATCAACAAAGTCAGAATCCACAACAAGGTCAACATCCGTCACAAGGTCAATATCCACCTCAACAAAGTCAGAATTCACTGCAACAAGGTCAACATCCACAAGGTCAACATCCACAAAGTCAACATCCACAAGGTCAATTTCCATCACAACAAGGTCAACATCCATCACAAGGTCAACATCCACAACAAAGTCCACATTCACAACAAGGTCCATATCCGACACCAAACAGACGTCAGAGTTTAGCACAAGTAGGTCAACATCAGTCACAAGAAAGTCAGAGTCCGTTACAAGGTCAACATCCATCACAAAGTCAGAATCGACCACAGCAAGGTCAACATCCCTCGCACGACCCGCATCCACAAAGTCAGAATCGACCACAGCAAGGTCAGCACCCGTCGCAAGACCCTCAAAGTCAAAATCGACCACAACGTCAACAGCAAAGTCAGAGTCGACCACAAGGACACCTCACGCAGGAACCAATACAACAAAATCAGCATCCAACACAAAATCCTCAGCAAAGTCAACCACGGCAACAAAGTAAAACTCAGCAAAGAGGTCAAAACCCAGTGCAGATAAACCAAGGTCAAAATTCACAGCAAACTATCGTTTTGAATCCTCGATTCGTCGCACCATCGTCCCCACGTCAACAGGGACCTAATTCACATCCGAATTATCAGCAACCACACAAGAACGCCGAACAATCTCAACCGGGACACGAGCAACAAAACGTACGGCAGCAATCACGAAACCCGGAGGCTGCCCGATCCCAGGGGATCGCACAAAACCAATTGCAACGAAATGAATCGTCGTTGAACGTAGTCCAGCAGGGTCCATCCATCAAGGAGGATAAGAAACATCCGCTTCCGCGTATAGTAATCGACAAAATGGCCGATGTTGAGAACGCGAAGAAGTTTCAGCAGTTCGAAAATCCTTCCAAAACCGAGAATGTGGAGGACGATGACGATGATGTGGTGATGGACGGGAAAAAGTCGCCGCGTACCAACGGCGAGAAAGAAGCCTTCGAGTGTAAACTGCCGAAGAAGGAGGAGCCGATAAAGAGACCGGAGACTGCTACGATAAATGGAAAGGTGGATAAGCCTGAAACGATCGGGGAAAAGGCTAATGAAAAGAATGGCGACATATCCAAAGGTGCAAATGAAGAATTCGAAAGTGACACCAAATCGAAGTCTGATGAAAAGTCTACGAATAAACACGAGATCGATGGTAAACCCGAATTGGTCGATAAAGAGGCAACGAAAAAATTAGAGGAAGTTGATAAAGGAAGTTCAGATAAAGTGACTGATAAAGAAATTTCAAATAAAGCGTCCGATAAAGGAAGTACAGATAAAGTGACTGATAAAGAAAGTTCAAATAAAGCGTCTGATAAAGAAACTTCAGATGAGTCTAAGATGTCGGATGCAAGCAAACGGTTGGAGGAAGTAAATCAGGAACAAAGTGATCAGGTATCTCCGGATAAATCGAGTACAACGGGCGAACCTCAAAATCAGGAACTTAAAACACCCTCTAAATCTCCGGATAAATCGAGTACAGACATGAGCCAACCTCAACAAGAACATAAAACACCCCCTAAATCCCCAGATAAAGCGGAGAATCAAAATGAACTGAAAACACCCCCTAAATCCGCGGATTCGAGTACACCGGATACGAATAAGAACGGAAGTGATCAACAATTGAAAACACCGTCCAGATCTGCAGATAAATCGCGAGCTAGTACGCCGACAGAGAGTAGTGAAGGTAAAACGGAAGAATTGAAGGTGCCGTCTAAATCGCCAGATAAATCGCGAGCGAGTACCCCAGCTCAAGAGGAAGATTCGAAGGTTCCGACGGAAAAACAGGATAAAAAGGATGAACAGAAATCTGAGACTACTGAAATTAAAGATGAAGAAACTGAGAAGAAGGTAGAAGAAAAGAAAGTTGAAAAGGATGATAAGGATGTGTGTCCTTTGAAAGCGAAAGACAATGAAAGTGAAAAAGTAAAAACGGAGTCCAAAACCGAAACAATATCGGACAAAACTGAAACAATTTCTAACAAAACCGAAGCAGGACACAGTGAAAAAGAGAAGGAGGAAAAACCTGAAGAGAAGTCAGAAGTAGAATCTGAACCAAAAGCGAAGAAATTGGAAGAGCAGGCTGTAGATGAGAACAAATCTAGTCCTGCTGCGGAAGAGTCAAGTGTTAAGAATGAAGGACAAAAAGAGTCACCTGCCGAAGAGTCTTTGAAACCGGAAGAGACAGATAAAAAGACTCCCGCGTTAGTGGAAGATTCAGGAAACGTACCGGAATCGATGTTGTCTCCGCCAAAGACTCCAGAAGGAAGCGTGAAAGGCTTCGATCATGGGCAACCGAGATCGTTGTCGGTAAAATCGTCGCCATCTTATAGCCCTCAGTCGCCAGTCTCGCCGAAATCCCCGAAAACCAATGATGATGAGAAAATGGAGGACGATGAGAAAAAGAAGGAAGTCAGTGATTCGAACGATAAAAAGAGCGACGCTAAGAAGACTGAATCGAAGAGCTTGAAAGTAGCGGCGCCTAAGATTCCGAGCGTATCGACGCCTACTAAATTAGGCGAAAAGTCAGAGAAGAAGTCTTCGAGAATTACAGGTTTTTATTTATTTCTAAAGTGAAGAACAATTTTTTTTAGGGGAAGGTTCGGTATGGCAAAGTGATTTATTTTTAATTTTATAGGAAATTTTGAGTTTTTTGGTGAATCCAAATTTTTTTGTGGTGAATTTCAAGTTTTATATCGCTACTGAAATTATTTTGTTTCACAGTGAATTTTGAGTTTTATAATGGATCTTAAATTATTTTTTTTTACAGTGAATTTTGAGTTTTGTAATAGAACTCAAAGTACTTTGTTTTATAGAAAATTTTGAATTTTACAATACTACTAAAATTATTTTATTTTACAGTGAATTTTGAGTTTTATAATAGAACTGAAAATATTCTGTTTTATGGTAAATCTCGAGTTTTATAATGGAACCGAAATTATTTTATTTTCTCGAAACTCTCTGTTTTTGTATTTTACAATAAAGCTCAAAATGTTTGAACTAATAGTAAGTTTTGAGTTTTATAACAGAACCCGAGATATGTGCAACATTAAATATTTTCAATTCTATAATAAAACTCAGAATATTTTGTTTTACACTAAATATTGGAATTCATAGTGAGGCTTAAAATTTGTTTATTTGAAATTACCAGTTTTGTAACAAAACCCACATTTTTTTACAGTAAAGCTGGCTTTTATGAAAAGCTAAGAATATTTTGTTTTACAATGAAACTTAAAGTATTTAATTTATTTATTGAAATATTAAATTTTAAGTTTCATGATGGAACTTAAAATACTTTGTTTTACACTAAACTTTGAGGCTTATAATACAACTCAAATTATTTTATTTCATAGTAAATTTTGTGGTGGAAATAAATTGTTATTGTTTTAGTTCACTATTAAAATACAGTGTCTGCTCTCTTAATGCACGTTTCTAGCCATTTTTAGAAACACAGCAATAGAGAACCAACCATACATTTCTCATAAGATGTAAGAACCAATCACACATTATAATAAATGTAGCTTTAATAATTTTAAAAAATGCATATGTAACACTAATGATCTAAAAACGTTTCTACCGTTCATTAAACCGTGCATTAATAGAGCGTATACCGTATCAAGATTTTGCTTCGTGAGTGCACTGGTGACACATTTTGCTGTTCGTTGAAATGTAGGATAAGCATTGCAGCGTCTCTTTTCTCTGTTCTTTTAGAAATTGAGAATGGTAGTGCATCAAACTCGGAGAAGAAATCTGCGGCTGGGTCGCCGGTAAAATCGCCAAGTAAATCTGTCAAATCGTTGCCACGAACTCCGGAAACTCCGACATCGACAGGTGGTCAAGAAAAGAAAAGTACGTAACAATTTATAATAACAATTTTTTGCAAATTCACTATTTGCAAAATAACAATTTTCGTTTGCAAATTCTAGTAAAAATTGTATATGAGAATTTTAATATCAAATATTTTAGAAGTGGAAAATAAAGCGATTCAATTTGAAAAAAATAAAAAATATGGAATAATAATTTTTTAAGACTTTGACTAATATGACTTTATTTTCAACAAAATTGAATTACTATATTTTTTAAATATTTATAAAAAAAAATTTGTTCAGTGTAAACAATTATTAAGTGGAAATTATAGCGTCGAAAGAAATATAATGAACAGTAGTTACTATAAAAATAAAAACACTTTTAGTTTATAAAATGAATTTGTACTATAGGTACATAGTACAATAAACAAAATTAATGTTCGACTGTATAACTAGGAAATGAATGTTTTATAAATTCATGTATCTTTGAACGAACACAAATATGTATTATCAAATATTGTACAAAGTACAAAATTAATGTTCAACTATACATTACGAAATGAATGTTTCATAAATTTATACAATTTTGAACGAATATTAACTACCAGTTTCTGTTGAATTGTACAGAGGTGCCTATGAACAAAATTCAAGTGGGATCAGCGCCATCTCCGAACTTGAAAACGGTGAGATCGAAGATTGGGTCTCTGGAGAACGCGAGCTACAAACCGGGCGGTGGAAAAGTGAAGATAGAGAACAGGAAGTTGGACTTCAGCAAGGCACAGCCGAAAATTGCAGCGAAAAATGAGAAATACACACCCAGTGGTGGCGACAAAAAGGTTAAGTAGTATCATAGTTCAGGAATTTTTAAATTTGAAATTTAAATATATTGAATTGTAATATTTACTAGTTTAGAAATTTAGAAGTTGGAAATGTCGAGATACAAAAATTTGTCCATTTTCAATTTTTTAATTTTATAGTCTTAAAAATTGTAAGAATAGAACTGGAAGAACTAGAAATTTGAATATATAAGAATTTTAAAACAATGAATTTTTAAATTTTCAAGTATCTAAATTACTACACTTTGCAGTTTTCATATTTTCCAATTTAGAAATGAGGAAATATGGCAGTTGAAATACGTGGAAATTTACGGATGTCGAAATAAAAAAATTTAGAAATTTGGAAAGTCGAATACATTAATATATTATTGCAATTACTCTATTACGATGATAGTACAGTAAATAGTCCCTGGCCATCAAATAAGGACCACGTACGAGAATTTCACTTTCATGGCTATAATTATGTCATACATGGAAAATTCTTAGGTCCTGCAAATTAATACTAAATACATTGATAACGATATATACATAGCAATTTGTTACTACCGTGATAATAAATTGTGTGATGAGCGATTAAGGGGCGTCAAAGCGTTTACGTTAGGCTCAAGTATCGATAACGCGTCAGGTAAAATTTGAATGCCATAGAAAATGTCTGCCTACTCAAAAGACTAGTTCACAACTCTCCAACCACATTATTTGAGTTGAAAAGAATTACAGATATTTGGGAAAACAATGAAGATATAAAGCATATGATGTATGCAGAGCATGCCGGAAGCTGTGATCAAAGCAAAGGGTGGAAATATAAGATATTAATATGTGTTAATGTTATGGACAGTAGTAATCGTGGTAACTAATAAATTATATCATTACAATTTGAACAGGCCTAACTTTACAGAGAACGTGAAAAAAACTGAATGTAGTGGTCTTAATTCGATGACCGACCGTAATCGATTTGTAAAAAGAGTGGTGTGAGTCGACGGTATTTTTCAAATTCATTTCCAAATTTTTGCAATTCATGAAAGTCTGTGTTCTGTAATTTGTATTAAATTTTTCCTTCAACGTAGGTACTTGAAATTCTTCTTCCGTAATCTTCATGTATAACTTTTAAGTGCTAGCAATTTGAAATAATTAGTTCTACTGACTCAATTAAAAGCAACCCTAACGTCCCCAACGTTAACACTAATGGCTGTTATCGTGTAAGAGATTTATGATGAATAAAACGCATTTACCAAGACGAATATCCTGTTCCATATGCATGGAATATACGTTATATTTGGACATATGTGGATTAATACATACCTACATTCTACGCGGGAGACTGTGATAACGTTTTTGATTAAATTGTTCCTGGAAAATGAGAATTTCTCGAAATTGAAAGTGATTGCTTACGTACAATTATTTAACTATTTAATATTGATTTTTCAGACCTTCAAATCTTCGAATTCATAAATTTCCAAATACAAAACTTTCTAAATTCGTAAATCTCTAAAATTCTAATTTGTCTACATTTTTAAATTCTTCGATTTCTTAATTCTCAAATTTTCCAATTTTCAAATAGCTAAATTTTTTAATTTCTAAGCTCTCAAGTTCCCCAATTTTCCAATAGCTAAATTTTTAATTTTCTAAGCTCTCAAATTTCCCAATTTTTAAGTAGCTAAATTTGTAAATTTCTAAACTCTCAAATTTCCCAATTTTTAAATTTCTAAATTCTCAAACTTTCAAATTTTCAAATCACTAAAATTTGAAATTTGCAACCTTTTTGTTTTTCAAGTTTCCAAATTTTCCAATATCTAAACACTTAAGTAAACATTCAAATATTCAAATTTCTAAATTTCTGAATTCTCACCTAAAATTTTTTGCCAACTTCTCTTTTCAAAATTCATCATTTCGTCTACAAAACAGCAACTTCAAAAATACGTGAAATATACAAATTAAGCCTCGATTTAGTGTATTTTTTGTACACAATCAGTTAAACCGTTTATTCATACTTTTTTGAAAATGTATCACAGATCGCTCAAGTAAAACTTCAGTGGAACGCGAAACCTAAGGTTGGATCGTTGGAAAACGCGACGTACAAACCTGGGGGTGGCGATAAAAAAATAGAGACCGTGAAGCTCGATTTCAAAGATAAAGCAAAACCAAAAGTCGGCTCGAAAGACAACGCTAAACATGTTCCAGGAGGTGGCAGCGTTAAGGTAAGAATCTTATTTCAATAAATTTATAAGTATTTACTTATTACTTATTTATGAACTCTAAAGGTACTTTTCCATTACCTCGAATATTAACATTTTTAGATCATTCAATTTATTTTTGTATTATGATAATTGTATCATTTAATATTGTATGGATTTATTGATATAGAGCATTATGATAATATATCATATATTATAATATACCATATATTATCACAGTGATCTATATCAATAGTAGATATGTTAATATAATTCACTATCATATGTGGATACATTGATATATTGTTATAGACATATTGATATATTGGCATCGATTATTATGATATATTGATACATTAACTATATATCGATAAATCACTATCATATGTGGATATATTGATATAAATGTGTATGATATGTTGATAAATAGACATATATTATTATAATAATATAATGTATTAATTAATGTATTAATATAGATCATTATGATATGTGGATGTATTGATATATTAACATAAATCATTTTGATATGTGGATACAGGGATATATTGATATACATAGATTAATATATAACATATAACGATATATGTACAGTAATATATCAGTTATTATATTGGCAATAAGTCAGTATAATAATGTCATATTTCTACGTCATGTGGATATATTGATATGTCGATATAGGTCTGTATAATATGGTGATATAATCGTATAAATCATGATGTATTGACATACTGATACATACTTACATTGACATACATCATACGATCAAGTATACTTGATATATTAACATGTGACCAGATATATGCTTAATATATTGATATTTATTAAGATCAATACAAGACAACTCAACACAAATCAGTAAAGTAATTATACAATTAATTATCCTTGTCCTTCAGATAATTAATTCAATTTTTATGAAGGTAATGAAAAAGTGCCATGTTTAACAATTTTTACATAATTTCAGACATTTTGTCTGCGTTCAAAAATTATTTTAATGATTTCTATAATTAATTAATAACGCTTCATTATTATTTATGAATTTGCCTGCGTGCGATTTAGTTTTTCGTCACAGTTTTACAATAATATTTTACAATTTCTATTCCTTGTAGAAAATTATAGAAATCTGTATAATAGCGTAGAAGTTTTAGTGTTATAGTGAAAAATCTATGAAATCATGAACAGTTGAATGAAATATTTGAGGCACTTTCATTCAGAGCGAACTGAGTAAGAATATAGTATAAAAAACTAGTAATTTCAATTAAAGAAGATATATGTATTTTGTATATTTTTGTGTTGAACTTTTTTTTTACTGTTTTCAACATTCAAAATTTACTAATTTCAAAAGATATTAAAAATTTTCAAACTTGTTTTAATAGAATATTTTTCAAACTTCTGTTAACAGAATATTTGTTAAACTTATAACAAAAATATTTTTCAAATTTATCTTAATAGAAAAATTTTTAAACTTATGGCGAGATTATATCATTCAATCTAATTGTCCTACGGCCCACATTTTCATTGTCATTTTCGTGACTAATTACTTTAAAAAGCAATTAAACTGCTTGAACAAGTGTATTGACGAACTGAAATTTTCATGTGTTTTTAACTAGATGTCGAAGAGTGTTACATTTTTGTTTAATAACACTTACATTCGTAGTGTTTTATTTAATGTGGTGATGACTCATTTGTCAAATTAAACACCTGCTTTATCTTCTTCAGCATTTACCCGTTCACGACAGTAACATAGTGCTCATTTCGTTCGTACACTACGAGAATAGAAGTTTGATAAATTAGAAAACATATATTTTTATATTGATTGCATCGTTGCATGTAGAATGTCAACGTAGATTCGCATTTACGTCTCAGATGTTCATTAGTTCAAAGATTAGTGTTTTTCACAGAGTAGGAACTAACTCTAGCATCAAGAGAAATATTAATATTCTATACATTATTTATTATTCTTAGAAAAAGTGTTCCTGTATTTTTAAAGATTGAAATTTCTTTTAGCAACAAGGTTTAATTTTAGATTGTCATATAACAAATGGCAGATTTTAAAGTATAGTCTCCCTATATGGCCCCCTTTTATATGACCTAATGAACAGTTTCTCATCATTATATTTCTCAATTATATGCTACAATTTATCATTGTATCATATTCTCTTTCTCTCGATGCAGAAGAAATATACATGACAGAGTTGGGCATCATTCGAATAAAATTTTATACGATTACTTCTAAAATGAAAATTACAAGTAAAAAGAAATTTATTCGATAATAAACAGTATCCAATTTTTTATTAAAGAGTCATTCGAATATATACAAATTTGGAAAATTCAGTAAATCTGTATAATAGCGTAGAAGTTTTAGTGTTATAGTGAAAAATCTATGAAATCATGAACAGTTGAATGAAATATTTGAGGCACTTTCATTCAGAGCGAACTGAGTAAGAATATAGTATAAAAAACTAGTAATTTCAATTAAAGAAGATATATGTATTTTGTATATTTTTGTGTTGAACTTTTTTTTTACTGTTTTCAACATTCAAAATTTACTAATTTCAAAAGATATTAAAAATTTTCAAACTTGTTTTAATAGAATATTTTTCAAACTTCTGTTAACAGAATATTTGTTAAACTTATAACAAAAATATTTTTCAAATTTATCTTAATAGAAAAATTTTTAAACTTATGGCGAGATTATATCATTCAATCTAATTGTCCTACGGCCCACATTTTCATTGTCATTTTCGTGACTAATTACTTTAAAAAGCAATTAAACTGCTTGAACAAGTGTATTGACGAACTGAAATTTTCATGTGTTTTTAACTAGATGTCGAAGAGTGTTACATTTTTGTTTAATAACACTTACATTCGTAGTGTTTTATTTAATGTGGTGATGACTCATTTGTCAAATTAAACACCTGCTTTATCTTCTTCAGCATTTACCCGTTCACGACAGTAACATAGTGCTCATTTCGTTCGTACACTACGAGAATAGAAGTTTGATAAATTAGAAAACATATATTTTTATATTGATTGCATCGTTGCATGTAGAATGTCAACGTAGATTCGCATTTACGTCTCAGATGTTCATTAGTTCAAAGATTAGTGTTTTTCACAGAGTAGGAACTAACTCTAGCATCAAGAGAAATATTAATATTCTATACATTATTTATTATTCTTAGAAAAAGTGTTCCTGTATTTTTAAAGATTGAAATTTCTTTTAGCAACAAGGTTTAATTTTAGATTGTCATATAACAAATGGCAGATTTTAAAGTATAGTCTCCCTATATGGCCCCCTTTTATATGACCTAATGAACAGTTTCTCATCATTATATTTCTCAATTATATGCTACAATTTATCATTGTATCATATTCTCTTTCTCTCGATGCAGAAGAAATATACATGACAGAGTTGGGCATCATTCGAATAAAATTTTATACGATTACTTCTAAAATGAAAATTACAAGTAAAAAGAAATTTATTCGATAATAAACAGTATCCAATTTTTTATTAAAGAGTCATTCGAATATATACAAATTTGGAAAATTCAGTTAAGGTGAAGTGGGGTAAGTTCGTAAACGGGGCAAGTGCGTGTACAGGCTACTTTTATTACAATATGAGCGAAATTTCTCCATTTAGTATGTTTGTTTCCTTGTTTTGTTTCACTATATCCCCTTTCATATTTCAGCTAAGAGTACTTGTTTGCAGTATAGAGTACTTGCATAATGCAGTAAAAAGCATTTTATAGCAGATTTGTTAATAATTCTGCTCTTGCTCCATTGCACATGAAATAAACTTTCAAAGTATTTAACTTCAAGTTACGCTCTTACCCCATTTTCGGGGAAAGTGCAGAGTAGTTGACATTTTAAACAATTTCCTATCAAAATCAAAATGTACAAGGAATATTAAGGTCCTAGTTAATATTAATTAAATAGTAGTAATTGTGTAAAGCGTTCGATATCAACAGCGTAAAATATTTACATAGCAGACTGAAAATACTTACGTTCAAATACTAACTTCACAAAAACTAGTCTGCACTTACCCCACTTCACCTTATCATATATAAATTTGTAAAATTTTTTAATATAAACTTTACTGAATTTATTTCAATAAATCTCTATTAAAATAAAAAGTCATTCGTTATTTGTAAATATGCCCAACACTGCTGTATAATTGTGACAATGGTACATGTGGCCAATAAAATAATCCATCTCAGAAGCTAGAAACAAAATGGAAGCTTTCTTTTTACATGAAACTTCATTTCTGACAAACTGAATTAAAAATCGATTTACCATGTTATGATACACTATTCTTATTCATTTTATAATTCGAGTGTTAAATTGTTCTTTGTCTGCTAAATATTTCTTTAGCATTTTATTATATAATTTTTAAAATATATATGTTCGCTATATATTTTATTTCTGCTAAAAAAGCAAAAAGTTCAAAATTTAAATTTGAAAAAAAATATGTAATAAAAATAAAAGATTTTATTCAATACAATTTTTAATTGAATTAAAATCTATTTTCTCCATTTTTTTTTCTCTATTATCTCCTAATAAGTTATATTTTTTATTATACTTACACAAATGATAGAAACAATAAGCGTAGCTTTAAATTAAAAAATATTAAAAGCTTAAAATATTTATAAAAATCTTGAAATGTAACTCTAAATTCTACTATTTCATTTTCTTTAAAAATCGAGATCATTTCAGACCTTTATTTTTTATTCTAAATATCATCATAAATTTTATTCTGAATATTAAATAATTTTTATTGACCGTACCATCGTGACAAAGTATCTCTGTTTAGTGAAGTATTTTTCTTCCAATAAAAACCTTCTGCATCCCTTCGACGATATAAAAACACGCATTGCTCTTTTGTACGCATGTATTTTCACTTATCATTATTAATAAGTCATTGTTGTTTGTTGATATTCAGTCATCGGCAACGCCACCTAAGACGCCACAGGAAACGAATAACGACGTAAGTATGTCAAAAATTTCATGAAACATTCAATCGACACATTGTTGACCGACTATTTTCAACAATAATCTACCTTCTATTGCATAACCATCTACATAAATTGTTCACACTAATTGTTCAAATTGTTCAAAACATTAATGACGACAGATTCGAAAATGGTTTTAATGTTGAATTAACGCATTGATTATTGTGTCACTGGTTATTCTGTTACATTTTTACACTTTAAACAATTTTACTCTGTAAACATTTTTACATTATATAATTCTTACAGTTGTATGAATGTATAGTGTATCTTTTCAAAACCTCATCTTTCAAATATTTCAAGTTTTCACATTCTTGTATACCAATGTTAATATTTGGGAAAGACATTAAATATATTTTCAAAATGTAAGTAAAGCTTTTAAATTAATTAAAATTTACTCACAATATTTGCCTACAAATAACGACTTGGTAGTACTTTTAAGACCACGTAGATATTTTGTCTATTTATAATAATTTCATAAAAATTAATGATCCTGAAAAAAGTATTAAACAAATTTTCTCCAATTTAATTGGTTTTTTGAAGCAAATTACAGGAGAAATATTTAATATAAATTAAATAAGAAATACTCTTTTTATGATAGATATTTAGGTGAATATAATGTGTAACACCTTGTACAGTAATATTAGAAATATTAATATAAACACCTTATAATATTAGTATGGATGTTTAAACATATTTTAGCGACCAATTTAATGAAATATATTTAAAATAATTAATCCTACTAACAATATTTAAATAAACAATTACAGAGTTACCTATTTTGCAATTTATTATAAAATAAATTAATATTTCGTTATCTACAAATATCTGTCAATTTATTACGAAACATAACAAATCTAATAACTTCAAAAGAATTAACTTCTTTGAATCAAACGACATTAAATGAAAGACATCCCTTTGAACAAAATTTTCGTTTACATTAATATTACAGTAACTGCACAAAGTAGAAAATCGAAAACTTAAATTTAACCCTTGACGTAATAATTTTCTCGGCAATTACGTCAGTCAGAACTAATTATTCACTGATGCAATGTTAAAGCAAACAGTAAAAGTTGAAGTGCAGTGCGTACTTTGCATTTAGCGATTATAATTAGAATCGAACTTAAAATTCAACGGTACTAAAAATATGGTTCAAGATTGTTACATTTGAAGTGTAATTGCGTCACGTGTGGCACGATATTGTAAATGGGTTAAAAATAAAACGATCCTGAATAATTATAGTTATATGCCGTTTAAACGCGCTATATGTATAATTATAACATTTAGTATCTTAAGATTAATAGCAAGTATTTTAAGCTTGTTTTGAAATTTATAAAGGGATATTCTTTTATGATTCATAAATAAATCAACTATGCAATTAAATAAATATGCAATGAAATCAACTATGAATATATTTAATGTTCATATAAAAATAATATAAATTATATTCATATATAAATATAGTAATTTTATTAATATACAAAAAGTCGTTACAACATATTAATAAAACTTTAAATATTGTATAACAAAAGGTGAAATAAACTAAAGAAGAAAGTGGAGTTGCTACTACTGCTGGCAATCATAATAAAAAAATAATTTGTGAATTATTAATAAACGAAATTAAAGTTAATAAAACATATTAAACACTACTTATTTACGCGTTAAAATTAAATATCTAATAGAAAAAAGACATTAATCCTTCAAAGTTAAAATTTCTATTTATAAAGTAAAGAATGAAGTAGCTTTCATGACAGCTTTAAGTGTGTCTAGATTACAGCGCTTGATTAGGATACAATATTTGCTGTATCATTCTGTGATTAACTTGTTACGGTACATACAAGGTGTTCGAAACTATGTTAAATTTCGAGAGCGTGTAGCGCTCATTTTTCAAGAGAAATATTGTTTAATTTATTTTTTTGTTTATTTGTTTAAAGAAATGCAAGATTGCGTTCTGAATATAATACACATACTGACATATACAGGATGTTTCATAATTAGTGTAGGACCCTGAAACGAAGCTGACACGATTCTGAATAAGATTTCCCTTTGCAAAAATGGGGTTTGAAGCTTCGTTTTTGAATTATTAAGGAAAAACGCGGACCAAAGGAAAAACGTGGGGTTTGAAGCTTCGTTTTTGAATTATTAAGGAAAAACGCGGACCAATCAGAGCGCGAGGATTACGCATGCGCAGATGCGAGAGCGCAGGATCGAGCCTAGAGGCGGAGCGCGCGTAATCCTCGCGCTCTGATTGCTGCGCGTTAGATTACTATGCGCTGGATTATTACGCGTTGGATTACTACGCGCTGGTTTTGCTACGCATTAGATTACCACGCGTTAGATTCATACGTGTAGAATTACCGCGCGTTGCATTACTACGCGATGGATTACTGCGCGTTGAATATCCACGCGCTCGATTACTACGCGTTGGATATCCACGCGCTCGATTACTACACGTTGGATTACTACGCGTTAGATTCCTACGCGTAGAATTACCGCGCGTTGCATTACTACGCAATGGATTATGTACTACGCGTTGAATATCCACGCGATGGATTATGTATTACGCGTTGAATATCCACGCGCTCGATTACTACGCGTTGGATATCCACGCGCTCGATTACTACACGTTGGATTACTACGCGTTAGATTCCTACACGTAGAATTACCGCGCGTTGCATTCCTACGCGATGGATTACTGAATATCCACGCGCTCGATTACTACGCGTTGGATATCCACGCGCTGGGTAGATATCCTCACGTTGCATTACTACGCGTAGAATTACCACGCGTTGCATTACTCCACATTGGATTACAACACGCAGGATTACCAAGCGTTGCATTACTACGCGTTCGATTACTACGCGTTGAATATCCACGCGCTCGATTACTACGCGTTGGATATCCACGCGCTGGATTACTACACGTTGGATATCCACACGATGGGTTACTACGCGTTGGATTACTACGCATTAGATTACCACACGTTGCATTACTACGCGTAGAATTACCACGCGTTGCATTACTACGCGTTGGATTACCACGCGTTGGATAACTACGCATTATCCGAAGCTGTCGCTCTTGCATCTGCGCATGCGTAATCCTCGTGCTCTGATTGGTCTGTGTTTTTCCTTAATAATTCAAAAACGAAGCTTCAAACCTAATTTTTGCAAAGGGAAATCTTATTCAGAATCACGTCAGCTACCCCCCATTTCAGGGACCTACACTAATTGTGAAACACCATGTATACTGTATACAGACTCTACATAAGTTGCATAAAAAATCTGTATAATTGTTACTATAAAAAAATTGTATAATTTTTATTATACAAAAATGGTATAATTGTTTCTATACAATTTATTTACTGTTTCAAATACTTTCTATTTTATTAATTTTTTATTATACGATTCATTAATATACATATTGTACTTTAAATACAATTTGCTTATTACATATATCCTGACTACAATGTACATATATTATAACAAAATATAATAATATGTATACATATATATGTATATGAATGCAATAAAATGCATATGTATATTATATTCATAACTTCGTTACTTTCATTTCCATTATTCTAATAAATTAAATATGTGACATAATCACTGTGTTACTTAAACGAAATGCAACTAAGCACAAAATTAATAAACAGTAATCATTAATATTGTTAACATTACTATTAACATTCAACAATTCTGAGTTAGCAACGTACAATTTCTCTCCTGCCTCGGTCAACAATTGTTTAACTGTTAATTATCATTGCTTACATGTTCGCATCTCTGTTACATTCGAAAATTTCATCATTTCAATATTTTACACACGATTCAAATCTATTAATTAGAGTGAATAATTCGGCTAACTAACGTCGTTTAAACTGACACTCCGTTGCTTTTACGCCAAGAACGAAGTATGTTCCTCAAAATTAGTCCGTTCTTCGTTCACAGTAAGTCGAGTAAGTAAATTCAATTCGGAAAAACTAAAGCATGTTCTGCATGTTTTCAAATTAGTGTAAATGTTCGTACCTCGAATGGGTGATTTTTTTATGTGCCTAAATCAAACCTACATAGTTTAGGAGACACACGAAACCCATTCGAAATGGAGCTTAGATTCAGGGAAAATTTTTAATATACGATATTTATAGTTCATCAGTTATTTCATGTCCATCAAAAATTATTTTTAAGGAATCTTTTGAAATTTACGAGAAAATCGTCCCAAGTGTCCCTCTTAGGTTTTACTGAAGTTTTGTAAATTAATTAATCATGTTGCAAATGTGTAAATAATTTTAGACGCAGACTATTGACAAATTATAAGATATTTATTTCCTTCATTTTAAAATATAATTTTGGTAAAATTGATGGTGAAAAATTGTAAAAAGATACGATAGTGCTATTTTTGTGCACAAGTTTTTGTGTTAAATTTCAATTTTGATTACTATATTTTTGTTAATAAATTTAAAGTTACATAATTTTTGTTAATAAATGTATGGTTGCGATAAAATTACAGATGGTGTTTTAATAAGAAACATTTTTGTAAGTTGCACAAGAAATAAAAATATTTGTAAAATTATGAAGCGTAACACAAAGGAATTCAATAATTTTCTTATATTTTTTACTAAACTAGAATATCTTCTAGTAAAGATATGTATTCTAGTAAAATGTACCACATATTTTTGTCAAATATTATATAAGTTCAGTGTAAACATTTCATAACTATTATCTGTAAAATTATACGGAAAGAATTTAATACGAAAAACCTAACCTCAATTTTTGTATTACGTTCTTATTGTATCTAAAATTATCAATAACATCAATTATATCTAAAACTATCAATAAAATTAATATCAATTATACCAAAAAAAAAATCAACTGTTAATTTATTACACCATATAAAAATTACAAAGTTAACGTAATTTAAAAAAAAGTTAAAATTGATCAACAGAGATTTCTGAAATATAAAATTGACCTCATTATAACTTGCCTAATTAATTAATCTGAAATGATGTAGTCACAAATTTTGCAATGAGGAACATAAATAGTACAAAAACCTCAACATTAAATATCTTTTAAACTATTGATCTGCGCCTAGAACTATATAGTATGTTACCTCTAACGATTTTTCACCCGTTTACAGCCATCTGACAAAAAAAGTTTAAAACAAGAATTTCAGAATGTAAAACATTGGATAGCAGTAAAAGAAATTTCGAATATGTTAGCAAGAATAAAAGTATTTATAAAACTTTACAAATATAAAAGTTTATATTTGTAAAAAGTGTTTGTATTTGTAAAATCCAAGGTGACCTCGATTTCGTTGTGAAAACAGTTCTCGAATTATTCTTTACTGATATCTATTGTACACCAACTCTTGTAAACTTCTTATCAGATAGCGGGTAAAAAAATCGTTAGGGGTAATATATAGAACGATTCGTTGGAACACGATCTATAAATTTGTAAAAGTTCATTAAAACCCGAGAGACACTTGAGAGGGTTGCCAGTTAGTCTCCGAGCAGTAAGTAATGAATATTGTTACTATTTTCAGATCCAAACACAAAAAATTGATATCAAAGCGGAGAGTAAGATTGGATCCTTGGATAACGTGAAGCATAAGCCTGGGGGTGGTGATAAAAAGATTTTCAATGATCGAGATTATCTTCGACAAACTGGTTCAAACGTAGAAAGTCTCAGTGGTAGTGGATCACAGGTATGCCTTTCGTAAGAGTCTCGAGAATTAGTTATTTTATTTGAAATATAATAAATAGTCATTTTATTTAAAGAATAACAAATAGTCATTTTATTCGAAAAATGATAAACAGTAATTTTATACAAAGAATAACAAACAGTCATTTTATTTCAAAAATGATAAATAATAATTTTATTCAAAGAGTAACAAATAGTCATTTTATTCAAAGAATAGTAAATAGTATTTTTATTGAAATATTAATAATAATTGTAGTTACAAGTTCACAGCTAAAAGTCTTGAAATAAATGTTTAATATATTTGTCATTAACTGTTAAGAAATACCTTTAGGATTCTTGTTTGATTAATTACACTTGGAAATTACGGTCTTTTTCTCGAGATTTCTCGTTCTCCCACTTATATATGCACTGTTTACCACGGAAAGCGCTTGAAAACACGCGTTGCATGCTTCTCTGCAATGTTTTGTACGATAGTTATGGTTCTCTTCTTCGTGGCGGAGAATCCTGAATAAAATAAACTTCACTTGTTTATTTGTTTATATTTCCGATTGCTATTTCAACATTTTTGGGTAACATTTTATAAGTTAAAAGTAAATCTGTTATAAATTAATTTTGTAACATAAATTTAATATTCGAACAAATATTTGACTTAGTATATCGATAAGTAAATGAAAATTTTCTATTAAATTAAGTGCATTTAATTGTCACTTAACTCTTTGAAGCATGTTTTCTAATTGCTTTTATATTCTCTTGCACAGCCAACTACTTTTTTGTACAACATCGTATATGTATAGCGTTTAACTCAAATATTATACTAGATGTTTCATAATGTAGGACTGCATTTTAATACAGAAATTTAAAAAATTTAAAATACTGATATACTCGATTGAACTTTATATTTTATATTGTTTATGATCCACAAGTATTTTTTATCTCAAAGTTTCGCATTAGAAGTGAGATATCAATTTAATTTTAAACTAAAAATTATAATATTTTTTTTAAATAAAAAAAAGCACTTATTAAAAAACTTTTTTTGCAGAAATATGTTTTATATTTGACAACAAACAAATTTTTCTGTTTGCTTTTATATACGGACATTTAACAAATTGTAATCGGTAGTTTTTAATTATAAAGTAACCAACTAATAAGTAATTATTAAAATATTGTTACATTTTCTAATCAAAACATTAACATTATACAAAGTTTTTTTGTATGTACAATTCAGTCTTGAAATTTTGTCCACACATTATGAAACAATCTATGTTCTAAAAACCATTTACAGAACTTGCGTTCATTTCTGTTTAAGGGTGTCCTGTAAATGTAATTTAAAAAAACCTTCTCCGTACACGTTTTTGAATATCATTTTCTAACCCTTATATTTCAAAAGAGTAAAGTTATTTTTATGAAATATGTATTAGAGTAATAAAAAATAATTGTTATCCAATATTATCAGAATCAATATTAAATTCAATTAAACTAAATCAATAATAAATCAATATTAGCAGAAACTGAAACACTATGTGAAGCATCCGTTAACATATATAATACATATCAATAATTTTGTATATATTATTAATTTAAAACGTATGTTAATAATTTTGATATAAAATTTAGATATGTATATTAATAATTTTAATATTATTTTCACATGTTTATTAACAATTGTTATATGACTATTTTGATTGTGCATTTCAATAATTAAATCAATTAATAAAATCAAACTTTTCAATACTTTGAAGTAGAATGAGTTTTCAGTACAATAATAATATTTATTACAATGTCTAATTTATTTCTAAAGTAAGAATTAAAAATAAGAACTTATAATCTTCTACCTAGAAAAGGAAAATACTCGACACCCTTAAGACAGTAATCTCGTTCTCACACTGGCACTATAATGGGTGACTGCGCTAATTTATGATAACTTCGTAACTATTTCAATATCCCATCTACATTGATAATGACATAACTAAAAATTATATTTTTAAGACAACTCTTTACACTCAAAAGTATTTTACTGTTGGCAAAAATGATAGTTTTAAAACTTTGAAGTCAAAAAAGTTAATGAATTCCTCATTTCTCTATTATTAATTACTATAATTGTATGTTTTACTACCTTCAATTTTCACATTTATGACTTACAAATTATTTTTATATATTTATGAACTGTTTACTGTGTATGAATTACATATAATATATAAACTACGTCTACTATGTGCACACATTACTAAAAATTCGTTTAAAAAATACTTGTTCAAAATTGTTACATTAAACCAAACAACTTTCTAAATGCAAAAAATTGTCACTTTTACATAAAATATAAACTGTCGATTCTCACAATCTCTCGACCTCACCAACCTCAATGCAAACAATACAAATCCACACCAAAAAGCAAAACTTGGAGATCTTCCAAAAAGAGCTAAACTAGAAAATAGTAAAAGTGTCATAAATTATCGCGAGCACCCTGTACGTTCAGTGAGTCAGTGACGAATCGATGATGGATAGTAAATTTCCGTTCCGTTCCGCACGGAACCTCGATGCTTCAAAGGGTTAACGTGACCCAGACTATGATGACCTTGATAGGTCACGATACAGTGGTTAATGGGCCACCTTAATCCTGTGTGTTGTGCCCGCAGAGCCCTGTGCCCCCTGGCACGGTCGCCGCCGGTAAGAACGACCTGCCTACTTCGGGCCTCAACCTCTATGGGAACTACAACCAGGAATGCTAGATCACGAAAAGAACTCGACCGCTAGACCCGATTTTTTTCTTGTCACTTGCGTCTGATTAATCGCCCCGTACATTTCTTCCCCGATTATTGAACCGGAGGGCTTTCGATCGACCGTATGAGGGACGAGGTGGACACGTTCATTATTAATTCAAACAATCGTGGCCAGATCGATCGGTTCGTTTTATCCCGTTGTTGCTTCGTATCAGCAATAACCAGGAGATTCCATTACGTGCCATACGAAGGAACTTTTCCATGCAATCGAGGTGAACAATATCGCGAAGACTGAGGAAACGTTATTCCTCTCACGGTGCATTGGTGTAACTGGATAGACATCTTTGTAAATGCGGAGATATGAAAGATCATCTAACGGATGGCGATTTAACGCGCGGCGAAATAACGTATTGTTGCACGGCACGTGACTTCATGCCTGACGATGTGATATATAGAGGTCTAATGGTTGGTGATTCAATCTGAGGTGATAAGTTATATAGCAGATGGCGATCTAATGCGCGGCAAAATAACGTGTTTTCATACGACACGATCTAACGGTGATATACGACGCGGAGAACTTTTGCGTAAATTTTACTGCCTCGCGATTCATTACGTGGTGATCTATCACGAAGAATTTTTACGCGTTGATAAATTTTTACTCGCTATGTAACGACTGGTGATATAACGCGAGAAATTTCAACGCGTCGTGATCTAATGTGTAGAATTTAAACGCGTGATCTAACGTATAGAAATTTAATGAGTGATCTAGCGCGAAGAATTTTAACGCACGGTGATATAACGAGTGGCGACATAACATGAAGAATTTTAACGCGCCGTGATCTAACGTGTGGAATTTAAACGCGTAGGGATCTAACGTGTAGAAATTTTACGCGTGATGATCTAGCGCTAGAAATTTTAACGCACGGCGATATAACGCGAGGAATCTTAACGCGTCATAATCTAACGTGTGGAATTTATACGCGTGATCTAACGTGTAAAAATTTTACGCGTGACAATCTAATGCAAGGAATTTTAACGTGCGGTGATCTAACACGTGATGATCTAACGTGTAAAAATTTCGTGATTTAACGCTTAAAATTCTAACTTGTTGCGATCTAACGTGTAGAAACGTTTCTCGTGGTGAAATAAGGCGTGGCGATCTAACACGTGGCGATTTAACGCAAGGAAATTCAATGCGTAAAAATCTAATCTTCCAAAAATCTAACGCGCAGAAATATACTAACATGGGAATCGCGGAGATATACAACGCATAGTAACAGCGAGCGATATAACGCGTGGCGATATAACTCGAGGTCAACCAACCTGTGCAATAACGATAGAAAAAGAACCGCACGGCAATGTAACGTGTAATCATAGAACGTGACAATGTATCGACTGGTAATTTAACGCATCCCTCTAAAAATCTTAGTTACACCAATGCATACGTGTACGTTTTTCCAATCGATAACGTGTATCACACCACGTCAATTGATTCTTTTTCCACGCATTTATCCTTAAAACACTTGACGACCGATCATCGACGAACCAGCGGTCGTTTGTTTACGTATACGTGACGGAAATTGAAGTTGTTCGAAGAAAATTAATAATAAAGATAGAGAACATAGGGTCGTCGGGACGGTTATTAAGCAAAATTTTGTTGGAACGAAAGGGGACAGTTCGCGATACCTTTTCAGATCGAGAAAATGGCCGTCGGAGAATTTTCGTACGATTCAACCAAATGACACCGATCATCCCATTATACATAGCGCAAACTCGCTCAAGGTATACTACAATTTTATCGCGGAGTTTTTATAAGAACGACATTTTCAAATGTTAGATTGTAAGAAGTAAGGAAACGGGATTTCCTTTAAATCGATGAAACGTTATGCAAGACAACGCTTAGCAATTGTTTGCTACACACTGTAGATCGCAATAAGAAGCATTTAAGACTGGACGACTTACGGTTACATTTTTCTGGTCTGAAAAGGAGACGCGATAACGTGATACGCTTAAGTGAATAACAAGCGAATTCTCATTTTTCGTGGTCGTTTGAAACAGTGATGGACAGACGAGGGTGGTGGAAAGCTGTCAGAGATGATTAGTAGAAAAATAGATATTTGAAAATTTGAACGTTTAGAAGTTTGACAACTCTTGACTGTAGATATTTCTAAATTTTCAAATTTTTTACTGGGGAAATACAGGTATTTAGAAATTTAGACATTTGGAATTTGAACAGTTTTGTGATAACGTGGAATGTTTGGAATTTGACAATTTGCAGTTGGGAATT